TGTTAACATTGTGTACAGCCATCTCACCAAAATAAGTATGATAGCGATTAAATGGTTTTGATTTGACAATTATTTACTGTCAAATAAAATTTTGATTATTGCTTTATAGAGTTGTCATCCTCAATGAGATCTAGATTCCTCTTTATACACCGGAAACCAAGCTAAAATCAAAACAATGGGTCGATTCCAATGAATCTGCTAAAAAGAAGGTGAAAACAGACTCATCAGCCGAAAATATCACGGTGTTTAATTTTTGGGATGCGAAGAACATCATACACTTGGACTTCTTAGGAAAAAGAAAAAATATAAATAGACAATACTAAAGTAAGTTACCACATTCTCATTCCTAGTACCTCATTTCCTGTTCCAAACATGGGTAATTTTTAAGCTACCCTCGTATACCTGAACTTTTAATGTCAATGTAATTCACTTTATCCACAAATTAAATTTTACAGTGTTTTTTACACAACATGGATGATATAGTCAACACACAGATGGAGGACAAAATAATACGAACACCTGTGAAATAATGGAAAATCTTTATTAATAGGGGTTGGATCACCCTTTTACTGAAGAACAGATTTAATGTGATGTGGGATAGATGCATAAAGTTCATGGACAATATTTAAAGGAATATTAAGCCATTCCTTCTGCAGAACGGTCTCTAATTCCGAAAGGCTGGATGGAGGTGGAAATCGGGAACAAAGTTTGGACTCCAAATATTCCCATAAATGTTCAATAATATTCAAGTCCGGAGACAGAGGGGGCCAGGCAAGATGTTTAACTTCATTGTCATGCTCTTCAAACCATGCTTGAACACACCTAGCAGTGTGGATAGGGGCGTTGTCGTCTTAAAAAAGTGGTCACTCTTCGGGGAATATAATCTGGACAAAAGGATGGACATGATGCCCTAGAATGCTTAGATAGATTGGATTTTATGCTCCTATGCAGAATAACAAGTGGTCCAGTCTTTGTGATCTCAGCACCATTGGTGTTGCTTGGAAGTGTTAGTTGCTGTCACCAAGGGTTTACGAATTCCCCCTCTGCCATAAATATTCGCAGCATGAAGTTCCCTTTTGACTGTTTTTGTTGAAAGGGGGTCCTGGAGATGACTGTTCATTTCGAATGTTATCTCAGATAACAATTGCTTGTGCTTTCGGGTTACTATGCTCTTCAAGACCCATCTATCCCTATCAGCAAGCTTTGACTTTCGGCCACTGCTGTGCTTTGAAGACATCGTCTTACTCCCTTTCGTGTACGCTGACATAATGGCTGATAACGTACTCCTTGCCAACCTCAAATGGTTTCCTGCTTCCTTAACCAATGCTCCACTTAAATGCACTCCAACAATCATTCCTCTATGGAACTCTGACAGGTCTGACATTTCAACTTATCACAGACAGTTCGATAGACACATGAAATGTAGGTGACTCTTGTTGACAGATTTATACCTTCCTCTTCACGCTCACTAGGTGGCAGGCATTACGGCTGTACTGCAGATGTGAAATACATCATACCTTTTCACAGGTGTTTGTATTATTTTGTCCTCCATCTGTACATTTATTTATTTACAAGCATAAAAATGTTTGATGCCACGGTGTGTTCAAATTTGTAAATTATTTCTCTGTGAATTATCTACATCCTATGTAATAATAAAATAATGGCCAATATAAAAGTTGTTTGAAACAACTTTTGAAGAAACATTTGTTTGAAATTTTTGAAAACATTTCTTTGAAAAAACAAACAAAAACGAATTTGAAAATTCAAATACATATCCTGAAATTAGGTATTTTAATCAATATTTTAAAATTTAATTACTTTTATTTCTTTTGAAATTGATATATATATTTAAAAATAGTAAAAAGACCAATCATTTTTTTTAAAATTCTCTCCAGAAAATTATATTGATGAAAAGAAATGAAAATACGATGGTGGTTCAAAAAGTAACTTTTCTGGGGACAAATACTCATAGCATTGCTAAGGTAAGCTGGTATTATCATTATTTGAGGCCATTTCTTAAACAGTGCGAAACAAATTTGACATTGATTGTAACTCATTATTTTGACATCATAAGAATAAGTTGCTTCCAGTGAATGTACTGCAGAGATAAATAGTCTCATAGTCCAGAAAAGTTATGATGACGAATTTTTGGGATAAGAAGAGCGTCATTCTCATGGACCTCTTAGAAAAACAAATGGACAATACTACAGAGATACCTTATTCACATTCTTAACCAGGGTACTTTTTGACGCATATGGCAAATCCCCATTTGTAGGGTGAGATTAGCTGACTGGTTTAAAAATTTAGAGAATATTATGCACATCAACCACTTGGAATAATTTTTGAAGAGTAAGACATGCACAAAACTATTTGAGAAATATTCATACATATACAAGAGTCGTTCCCCCCTCCCCAATCTTCGATGAACCATAAAAAAAAGACAAGAGTACAGAACAAGATGAAATTGTTACCAAAAGTTATGTACAAACATGGTTACTTATCAACATAATCAACGTGAAGATTCAGAAATTTATCATATTCGTGGACAAGCCGTCAGTTCAAGGAACATTGGAGCCAATGATGTGAGATGAACTCCATTTTATTTTGAAGCTCCTCATTGGTCTGGAAGCTTAGGCATTCTAGCAAGTTCTTCAATTCAAAGAAAAGATGAAAATTACTCAGTGCAAATCAGGGCTACATGCAGGATGATCAAACACATCCTATTTAAACAGATCAGGAAGCTGCTGAGTCACAGCAGCATTGTCATGAATAAAGAAACAGATTTCAGTACTTCTCGTAAAGTCTGACAGTAAACAGATGCATTAATCGTAGTCCCCCGTTCCCTACACTCAACAAGCAAGACAACTTTTTGGTTCAAAAACCCACAACCATAGCCTTCCCAACTTTGAAGGGTTGTTTGAACAGACTTGATTCTCATCTCCCTTTATCGTGAACGTCTGTTCGCCCATCTTTAAATTGTATACACCATTCACGTACAATACCATTACTCTTAAAGTTTTCACCATTTACTAGGCTCATTTTTGGTGAATTTCTGCAGCATTATTCCCTTCTCCTTGAAGAAAGAGAACTGCACTATGCAATTAGCACTTTGAAGAGAGCATCAATTTTAACATCTATGCTTACTTGCCTACAGCTCAGCTTAAAATAGTGGGATGGCATTGGTGATAGCAGAGGTTGTTTAGCAGCTCAATTGGAGGTTGATAAAAAACAATCCTATTAATTTCTGTTGATCATTCATCCTAATCAGGCTTCTTCCCTGAAGTCCACACTACATTTTTTAAAAAAAGTCCAAAGTATAAACCAATTATACAAACACAGGGATAATTTTTCTGAAGCAATTATGAAAGCCATGCACCAAATTTTTTGTGGCTTATGCCATCCTGATCAACTTTGAAATTGATTGCATGGCAAAACTATGAATCTAAATGAAAATGCCAAAAACAATACATGATTCCAAAGAGTTTTTGCCAGACTGAAGACTTCTTTTATGGAATGGATGATGCTGTTGCATGTTTCCATGCAAGGAATATTTCACCTTTTACTTTTTAAAAATGGATATATAGCAACAATAATGATTAATTGGACGGAAATAACGATAAAAAAACATTAAAATCCATATTGGAATTATATACAATACAACACAATATTTTGAGAAAAATCTTAAACACTATATTTCGGAATACATTTATATCATACGTAAAATTAAAATTTACATAGTGCCTAGAGAAATAGAATTATTTTAATAGTATCATTCATTTAGAGATTTGTTTTTGTTGATGCAGCACAAAAATCTTTATTTGAAACTCGTTTTCACATTAACATGGCACAAATACAGAATAATTTGTATTAATAAACTAATAAAAATCTTCTGCATTAACTTTGAGGGTTACATCAAAATCCACAGAAAGAGGTTCTCACACTGTAACTCAAATACAAGTAAAAATATAAATTGCAGCAGCCTGGCTATATTCATACTTACGACTATTCCATTTTTAAACTGTACATTTTTGTACATTTTATTCAGCCATTCATCAATACTACGATATGTTGTCCTTTGCTGAATGAAAGAATTTTGGGTATCTACCTATAGAAAATTTAAATTGTCAGGAGTAATGTAAAGTCAAATATATTAAAATGCACAAAAATGCTTAATTCAAACAAACAGTTTTTTACTTAAATATTCAAATGTATAGAACTCAAAATATATAAGAAATTAACTGAAAAATTATACAAATATTTGACAAAAAAATTAAGCTAATTAGTGTATTTAGTGTTAAACTGATATAATATCTTGCTATTAAAAATATAAGGTAATTAAAAAGACATACCACTAAGGTATAAAAAAAATTTGAAATAATTCATAACAGGTATATGACTGCTGTCGAAAAATACATTAATAAATGAAAAATTATAAAAAAATTTCAGGGTATTTTAAATTCAAAAATTCGAATGATGCAGATACCAATTTAAAAATAAATCAGCAAGTAAGTACCACGCTTTTTAAAAAGTAATGATTCTTTAAAAATTAATGAGAAATCAGGCATGGTTCACCATTTTATTCTAAACAACTGAAAAAATTGTAGTTCTGCCCCCTCTTCTTTAAGCTGAGGAAGGGTGAAGGTGCTGAAATTATGGAGTTCTGAATTTATTTCATCATAATTACTGAATTATAACATAATTGATTAATAATTAGTTGGTTTTATTAACGTCGCACTTGAAGTAACACAAGGGCTATTGGCAACTAACCTAGTAATTTTGAGCCTTGGTCAAGTGACGAGGATGACAAATTAGCTGGCACCCCTTCACTTAACTTCCACACCACGCCAACGGGAGGACTTTGAGCCACGACAGATTTAATGTGCATCATCCCCGCTACATGACAGATCTTTAATGACATCAAAGCTTGAACCTATGACTCAACGAAAACCGCCGGCCACGAGTCCGCTGCAATAACCACCAGACTACCGCGGCCAAAAGAATTCAGGTAAAGACGAGATTCGAACTCCTGATCTTCTGTTTACAAGACAGACACTTTGACCAACTAAGATTAATAATTTAAATTTCAATAAAAATATTATGAGATTTTTTTTAAAAAATTGAACACCTCAGTTTTCCTCAGTACTCAACGAGAGGTGGAGTCTCTCAAGTCTCGTTACAGAATAAAGCCAGATCGCAGCAGATGCAAAAACCACCCCTCAAAATTAGGCTTAATAGAGAGGTCTTTCCTCAGTTTTACTGACTTTATCTTGTGTGTTGGTATTATTAGGCATGCTTTCAAAGTAAGTACCATTTTTAAATATAGCAGCTGCAGCTCTACTGTAGTCATTCCATGCATGTGCATTGAGAAACTATATATGTTGGTTACTCTCAGACACCACCACAGAAGTATTCATCCATGTTTAAGTTTGTTAGTGCGATTTAAAATGTCTCACACAATTGAATATATCTCCGATTGTGAAATACACTAAGATAAGTTTTCAGCATGTTAAAAAATGCGAAAACTGCAGAAAATCATCATCAGATAAATAAAGTGTACAGGGAAAACACTAAGACCTATGGCAATGACTTATATAATCAACTAAATGGTCAGGCAATTAAAGCTATTTTTGGGGAAAATATAATGAACTATGTTGAACTTAAATTTCTTATTTATATGGACTTCAGTTACTTGAAAAGTTACGAATATATTTTTAATATTTTACAATAAAAAAAAACCAATTCTCTTATAAAAATAATTGTAAAAAATGCAAGTATTTAAATTGAATGAATAATAGTCATTCAAAGATTGCTTACATTTTAAGTACTAAAGACTAAAATAACCAATCTCAAGACCCTCAATAAAATTATCGTGTCCTTTTAATTTTATTAACAAGATACTTTAGAAACAATACATATAATGAAAAAGTATAAGGCGTTTTTAGACTGAGGATATAAGGTAGAGTTGAATAAACATTCTAATCAATCTACATGAAAGCTATTGATAGTTAGTGGCATAAATTTATAACTTAGACAAATTCTATTTTTTCCATATATAATTAATTATATATATAAAAAATCTTGTTTTAAATTAAATTCTTATTAGTTGGCTCATCTAGATCTGCTTTTTAAAAACTCTTGAAATTGTAGATCATTTTTTTTTCCTTCATAATTAACGAATGTTACTTTGATTAAACCTAAATTGCCTACGAAGAGTCTATAAAATACAAAAGGCACTCTAAATAAAGACACAATTTCAGAGAGTTCGTTTCTTTTTCCTTTGGTATATTTAATACTAATTCATTCCTTATTACAAAACGGTTATAGATATTTTATAAAACAGAGGTTATAGATCTGTGTAAAACTAAAATTCCAATAATCTTACTTTTAATTATTTCAAAAACTTTGCTTTTATTGCAATTTTGGAAAAAAAAAAAAAGATTTTGGTATGATTAATTTCAGGCATTACATTAGCATTTCCACAAATAATCAGAAAAAATTGTCAAAAAGTAAAGCTTATTGATTCATACTTGTACTACTTCATATTTTCACCCAATTATTTCTAATCTGATATCATTTACATGAATAAAAGAATATAGCTAATACTTATCTGTGTGAATGTTTCAAATGTTCTGTTAAAAAAATATTTTTAAAATTAATCGGTATCTGATCCCCTTCCACAACTTCACAAGTTTCCCCCCCCCCAAACTGAAAAGTTTCCTCTTACACTTTTTCAAATTATCGCATAAGAATTTTCTATAAATCATATAATACATGTATATATTTTAAATAGATCAAAACAGCATTACAATAGTTCAAAAATGCTATAAATAAATCAAATAAGAACATGTTCTGGAAGTGTCAAATTAGAAGCTGATTTTCAATGATAGACTATCTTAAGAATTTCTTATTGAGACCTGAACTGTATAATTATATAATAATTTTAATAATAATTACATGAGTTTAGTAACATAAAAATCAAGGATTAATTTTATTTAATTAACATTGTACAAGAGCATGCACAGTGATATATTGGTGATGCCAAAACAGTTTTGAATCATGATCAGATTATTAAGATGATAATATTCTTCCAAGTTTTCCTAATACTTAGTGTGAAGGCCTATAAGGAATTGAGTTAAGAACCTATGACTCTCTTATCCCTAATTTGAGACTGTGATTAGATAAATGAACAGCTTTAAAAATTCAACATGCATATAATTCAAAAATGTGAAATTACTTACTTTAAGAGAGTTTATGGAAACACAATTAATTATTGAATTCAATGCACTGCTTTGAATATCTGGAAAGGATGTAAATTGTCCGTAAGATGCCTCTAGTAAGACACTATAACAAACAACAAAACAAATTCAAATAACTGTGCAATATACAATTGAAATAAATAAGTAATTATTTAAAATTAATAATCAAATTAATAAAATCAGAAAAGAAAACAAAATATCTTTTAAACTAACTGCATTACATATTTAAAAACAATGCATTTACTGTAATGGTTAACATGGTTTAAAAACATTCTCCTCGGGAGAAAAAGAGGGTACCACTAAATACTTTTTTCAAGCAAAAAATATAATATCAGATGTTCTCTCACCAGATTTTAATCCAATTTGAATTTGAACTGAGATTCAACTATTGTTAACTGCATACATTTTCAGTAAATTTACAATGTCTTCCCGAGTTCAAAATCCTGTTTCTTGTGAAAAATCTTGGACTCATAATAAAGAATATGGCATTAGACCTAATTAACAAATGGCAATAACAAAACATGGAAAAAAAAAACTTCTATGGAGTAAAGTAAACATGATAGTCAAGTCAGAGATTAGATCTCAGTTGCTGAGAATGCAGCTAATCTGCAAATGCTACTGGTACATTGGGTCTGAAGTTATCCCCTTCTTTCAATGCATTCATAGAGCTGTATTTCAACTGGAAAATGCACAACTTCATACTGACAGAAATTTTCAAGTATTCTTTTCAGCACAACAGATCCAGCATCATCCTTGGCATGCCTATTCACTGGACTTGTTACTTGATGAAAAAATGAGCTTTCATCGATTCTAGTTTTATTCGTGACAATCATCAAGTAGCTGATACAGAAGAACTTTGAATCTGGATCGAAGCAATATAGAATGCTCTTCCTCAGATAAATTCAAATATGTTTGCTTTGGTGTCATGTCATATAAAATCCCTTATTACAGTGCATATGGTTTCACAAAATACTGATTTTAGTAATGATATTACTCTCTTGTTTTGTAGATTTAATGATTTATTAGAATTAATACAAGTTGTTTGTGGAACAAATTTCATTCAATTCTAATAAGTCATTTCCTATGTTGCACTTTTTATAAACATGAGTTCAATTTTAAAGATAAAATATAAATATTTCTAATGATATTATAGTTTCTTCATTCCTTTGTTCATGTTAATCATGATACCAAACAACTTATTTCCCGCATATACTGTCAGATTTTAACTGTAGAGAGCGTAGAATGTTTCTAACTAAAATGATATTAATCAAGCATACCCCATACTTCAATAAGCCAAAGGAACACTTCCAGCAATTTATGGAAACCTCAAATATAAAAAAAAATAAAATTTTGAGAAACTTACTGTTCTCAACAAGAAGTACTTACATATACCTCTTCAAGCTTCTTACTAAAATGCAAAGAATGATAAACCTTGAGCAACAGATTGATTATTAGGGAAATTCTTGATGTAATTACCATATTAGATCAAACTGAAGAAATTATTTCTTAGATTATAAAAATAATTTTGGAGTTGTTATGACAGTAATAAGGAAAGAGATCAATATCCTCTAAATTCATCCTTTATTACATATTTAAAATATTGTACACTGAACGTTGAAGTCACACAACAATGTTCAATTCATAATTCTTCAATGGAAATCTTAGTTATCACTGAACAATATTTTTGTGACTCAACCATTTTTGTAGGGTTTTATAAACATTTCTATATGTTGTAACTATATTTTATGTTGTTTAATTAAATGAACATAGTTCGTTCAATAAAACAATAAAAAATTTAAGTTCCCAAAGTAATGTGAAAAAAAAAAAAAGATTTTTCCAAGCATACTACCCAAATAAATATAGGCACCATTATTCTCATGAATTTAAAATCTGATATTATAGCGCTTTGTTATTTGAGAAAAAAATATAGACAATTTATAAATCACAAAATACTAATTTTTAGGAAAATATTAGCTAAAAAATTATTTTGAAATATTTTTTTTATGTGTTAATTACAAGCGAATAATTATTCTCGTCTCTCTCTCATTCCCTCCACACTTCTCTGATCCTGATTTTAAGTTACATGCATCTACGAATGGGAAAGGCACATGCGAACCTACTTCTGAAAATTTCCAAGGTCTAGGCATGCCACAATCTGAGAACTGATGCAATTAAATGATAAGCGATTTATAATATCAACCAATAGTTACAACATGATACATTCCTTAAGATGCATTAATGACTTTTTTGTTATTTTTAATAATAATCATATTTACTATTGGGTTAAACAATATTATTTCCTAAGAATTATCATTTCTTGCAAACTACTCTCAATCGTGGGTGATTATAATTCATTTTATACATTTCTACCTAAAAACACAATTACAGTTTATTTATCAGAAGAAAAAATTAAATCATAATGGAACTCAGTTTTCCTTTGAATCATCGATAAATATTCCACAACAAAACTAGAGCATTGATAAAATATAATTTCTTTTATAAAAGACGAAAAATAAAAATAAAATCCTTCTCCAAATATAAACGACAGCTAGCAAAACAAGTAAAGAGTTTAATCAAAAAGAATTTTTTATTTCGTACATTTATTGATAAATATAATTTTAAAAAGACATGGGAATAATGTACTTACTGAAGCCCAGTAAGGTGCTTATCCCCTTCTTCTCGATTAGACATTACTTCACAAAATAATAATTGAGTAGACAACATGAGTGAACAAATTTAAGCGATCATGAATTAAATGATAAGCGATTTATAATATCAACCAATAGTTACAACATGATACATTCCTTAAGATGCAT